TATTGCTATATATATATAGCCGAAGGGCAGACCCGCAACCCCTCCCATGTACAAATTCAAATTTTGTATGGTCGAGGATTCAAACCCGGGTCGAGAGGGGACTTCAAACTCACAGACACCCAGTGCACACACATATATAAATTCCTATGAATTTACATATCCAACACTGTAAATTTTATTTTTTTCATGTCACGTTATATATACATGAAAATGTGTAAAATTAACCTTTTAGAAGTCAAAATAGTGATGTTTTTTATGTGATACAAAAGAGTTGGGGGGGGGTATATAAAAAAATATAAAAATAATAAAGTATAGGTGAATAAAGAAGAATTGGTTGGTATCTATAGAATTGCCCTATCTATCCATATGTATAATGCAAGTTGAACTTATTTATTAATTAATGAGCTGCCAGCAAAATGCATGAATTATATTCTAATTATTGGCTCTAATTACAATAATAATTAAGGATTTGCAAGTAATCATTCATGTAATTAAGAATAGAGTATTGGAAAAACAATCTACGCCACATACCTGAAGAAAAGATAAACTTCTCCTGCCCAAAATCATCAAGTTTCTTGCTTCTGTACATCTGACGATTTACAGAAGATGAAGGCTTACTGAATCATTAAAAATGGATATAATTGCAAATATTTCATACAAATTAAATAATTATATATAATTACCTGCAAATGGCTTTTCACATGTGCAATACTTATCCCTCTAACATTCATCATCTGAAGAACTAACTTTGGTGTTGCTCCTGCTTGAAAAATAAGACAAAAATTCAGTCCGTTTGCACCAATAACATATAGATAAATTAAGCTTATGAAAATTCCAAATTTTTTATATATTTTTATTTTTTGCTAGACTCTATATATTGTCATCTATATAAATAAATAAATAAATAAATAAATAAAAATATAACCAATTATCAAATATTTAACTTTTGGGGCAATCACATACATAGCATCCCAAACATTATTATCACAAAACTTAGCTATTTTAAAAAATAGCACTTCCTTTCATCCGTTTCTCAAATTCATACCCAAAATATCAAAATTCACAATTAAACCCCAACTCATATTTTTTGTTTTTATCGAATTCTCAATGATTTGATCGTGACACACGTAAATACGACAGTTAATCAGCTCAAAAATTATCCTTTTAAAATTTTTCAACTATCACACAAAAAACTATTGGGACATTTACATACATAGGACTCGATTCTCCTGAATTTACTTATTTCACATCAAAATTTTCATTTTTGCACACATAACCCCACTCAAACCTTTGCCTCACATCAAAAACAGTGCAAACTAATTGTCACTTTTTAAGCAGTCAAATCAATCTGTTCATCCACAGAAAAAATGCTACGCATTGTAAAGATGAAAGTTCAGCTCTGACATACACAAATCCATAAGAATTGCAACCTACATACGTAAATTTCCCAAAAACCACTCCAGCAACCACAAAATTACAAAAGTACCAAAACTTTTACAGCAAAAGAAAGTTTTGCAGCAATTCAGAAATTTCAGAAAGAACTTACTCTCCTGTCCTCCGAGCCTCGCGACCGCACGAACAAAGGAGTGATGCAGCTCAGCCGTCCATCTCAATCTCGGCAGTTTGGACTTCACGTACTGCCTCACACTACCAGATCTCGGCCGCTCGTCTCCGCACTCATTTCCGCCATTGTTGTTGCTTGTGTTGTTGTTATCTGAACTCTCTCCTTCAGTTTTTTCAGTCTTCATCTTTTTCTGTAACCCTCTCTTCGCTGTGCTGAGGTGAAGCTTCTTAATTACCTGTCTGTTACATGGGGTATATATATATATATATATATTATTTTTTATTTTTTGCAGCAGGCCGTTTGCATGCAGTAAATTATAAGGGAGCGGAATATTTTAATTTGTTAAAAAAGCTCATTGTTCACGAATAATTTTTGTTCGATTCGTTCGATAAGTAAATAAGACGAACACGAACAATTTTTTTTCGTTCGGTTTATAAACGAAATAAATAAGAACAATCATTTGTTTGATCGTGTTCGAATCATTAATGTTTGAAATATAAAATAATTTAAAATATTGATATATAAAAAAATTATCATATTTTAAAAAAAATTATATACTCTAAAAATTTATCATATTTTAAAAAATTAAATCTTATAAATTATAATCTGATCTTCAGGTTCGCCTCTTAGCTTATATTAAATTATATGATTTCATATTTAACTTCATGTTCGTCTCTTAGTTAAAATTTTCTTATATTTCTTTTAGATTTATTTAGTTTCTTTGAGTGAAATATAGTTTTTGGGAGTGAAATCTCGCATATTGCCTCTAAGTCTGATTTTTTTATGAATGAGATATGATATTATGGTTTTATTATGAGTTGTGTTTCGCCTATTTTGTATTTGTGTTGTGATTCATAAATGTTTAAGCATTAATTGCATATATGTTTAAGTTTTTGAAAGATTTCAAAAAATTCAAACAATACAAAAAAATTTGTAAGATTTCGAACAATTCAAATAATTTGAAAGATTTGAAAAATTCGAACATTTCAAACATTTTAAATATTTCAAACAAATCAAATCGAACACGAACAATAACTTCACGAACAATTTCAAACATGAGCTTATTCCAAACATACTTAATTTCAAACGAACCAAACACAGACACGAGCTCCGTTCGTTTACACCCCTACCTAAAAGTATTTATTTATATATGTAGATTTATGACACCAAAGTTTTGTTAGATATGTAAATATATAAGAATTGTATATGTATAAATTTCCTCTTTTCTTCGCTATAAGATAAAAAAAAAATTATTATTTAATAAAAATAATCGGTCTGCAATATATAATTTATACGATTAATATGTTAGATCCCGATAAAATTGAGTTCTAATAGTCGTCTATACTAATCATTTCAACCCTAATTTCATGAAATTTGGATTTAAACGGCCAAATAAATAATTTATTATTATTTTAGCACTTTACTCATTTTTTTATTGAATTTGTCAATATATATATATATATGTATATATATATATATATTATATATATATATTTCTTGCAATAATTTAGGCTGACTTAAATGTAAGTGATTGGGTGGGGAGAATCTTTTATAAATAAATAATTTCTACTTGGAAGTTATATTGATAAATATTGATGTGGATCAATTATATGGATTTAATATTTTAAGGCCCATTATAAATTATAATATTAGTAAAATCGACGCGAGCGGGCCCCACAAAAAACTGTTTTATGGAAATAAAATATAGGCCGATTATGAGAATTTGAATATAAAATGTTAGGAATGCTTAATCATTGGCGTCAAGATTCATTCCATTCACTAAATTCTATTGACTAATTTTTCATTCAAAATATAGCTATTATATGTCATTTTAATTTGCATGTTTATATATATATATATAAGGAAATCGATATTTGGCAGAGGTCCAAATATCGATTTCTCATGCGTTTTTTGGCCACATGATGAGAGCACGTGTCATGTGCCTAAAATTTCAGAGATCCCGCGATACGGTAGAATTAAACCCTTGACCTGAGGGCACTTACAGTGAACCCGCCACCAACATGCCAAGGCTTGTGGCGCGTTCGCGCTAGCGCGCCCGCGCACTTACACACACACACACACACATACACGCACATATATACCAATCAAACAACTAAAAATGATGACTCCCTATCTACAGTCCCAACCACCAAGCTAGTCGAACGCAAACGACTGGCTAACCACTTATACCTCGGTACCAATGATCACCACGAGATGAGTCAGTTTGGTTAATTGCAATTGATGACAATTTCTTTGGGGGGTTTTTTTTCTTGGTAAATAATTCTTTTTCAACATATTAAATGAGGAAGGCTTTGGATTTATTGAGGATGTTAATATTCAATTAGATTTTTTCACAATATTTCTTGACCACATGATTAAGGTCAATCTGTCATTTTGGATTTCACATCTTGCTTTGATAGTAACTTATAATACATGCATTCATACATACATACATCTGTTAATGATCCGATTTAAAGCGTAGCTGGGGCGGCTCGAATAGATTTAGTGTGGTTCGAAATAGGCTCGTGGCTCGTAATGTTCGATTTCGAATCGAGCCAGCCCGCTCAAAATTGAATTGTGCTCGATCTTGCTTGAAATTGAAATACGCTGGCTAAAATTGAGTTATTTGGATACGTTTCAGCATGGAAGTGGCTCAATCAGGCCTAAGTTGAGTTATTTGGATGTATTATAACTCGAAATTGGCTCGTGACTTGTCATATTACATTTTACTTAGCGCTGTATATATATATAACTTTTAGAAATAAAATACTATGAGCCGATCTAGAGTCAGTTTGAGTCAATCCATGTATGGCTCGAAATCAGCTTGAGAAAAATTCAATCCAAAGTTTTGACTTATAACTCGGCTCGTTCATTTCAATCTCATCTCGATCCGATCAAAAATTTGAATCGATGTTCAAGCAACTAACGATCTTGTATCTAGATTCACAGCCCAACATACATGCATACAATCATACACATTCGACCTAAAAACATAAAACAAAATAAAAATAAATAAACTAAGAAAAAAAAAACAAAAATATAAAACAGAAAGTGAACCCAAATAGATCTTAAATATTTATATATCTAACACCTAAATTTTGTTTTTTTTTGACATTTATATCATGATATAACTAAAATTAATTTCATGCGTATTGGATGGTGTGTATGTATTCTTTGAAGAAAGAATATATTGGCATCTATAAGTAGCTAATAACTTTTGATAAATACTTAGGGTCTGTTTGGGGCAACTTCCGCCGTACCGTTTGGTTCGCACGTTTCGCCAGCTTATCCAAAACTGCGTTTGGGCTTTTACACTAAACGCAAACCATGGGTCGGGGCTCACGGGCCGCGCTTCAGGATAAACAGCTTATCCTAAAACGCACAAGCTGCCTCAAACGGACCCTTAGAAACCATAGTCTTAATTAATTAAATTATTATTTCCCCACCATCACATAAATTTAAAGAACAAAAATTGAATTTTTAGTTTTTTTTTATGTTTTTTTTTATTTAATTAAATATTATTGGACCACTTACACTTAAGACATCTTAATTAATAATAGTATAACTCATGTAATGATTCATAATGGGATGTGTATGTACATTTTTTTTTTTACTTAGATTATTTGTTGTTTAGGATTTTAAGATTTTTTTTTCTAATTTTATTTCTTTTGTTTATTGATTTCACTTCTTATAACAAGTTTAAGGGTCCGTTTGGGGCAGCTTATAAGTGCCCGCTTTAGAGGGGGGGGGGGGCTTTTAAAAACCCCCGCCGTACCATTTGGTTCGCGCGTTTCGCCAGCTTATTCAAAATTGTGTTTGGATTTTTACACTAAACGCGGGCCGCAGGTCGACCCTCGCTGCCGGCCTGCG